ACCAAGTAGGTTGCAGTTCTGGAATATGACAGTACTGGAGGATAATGGATTCCTGGTAGCTTCACATTTAATTCTTCTCAAATCTTTGGCAGTTAATATGCATCTTTTTTCCTCAACACATTTCTTATGACCCTATTGACTATTTGCAACAAAACATTTGATGGTTCTGTCATCACGCTCCAATATCTTAGCAATTTCAAGAGTGCTGCATCCCTCTGAAAGACCTTTTACAATTTTTGACTTTTCAGAGTCAGTTAAATCTCTTTTTTTGGCCCATTTTGCCTGAGGAAACGAAGCTGCCTAATTATTCATAGCTTGATACAGGATGTTGATCTCCTTAGGCCACACCCTCATTAAACAAATACACATCACCTGATATGCTTATATCCATTAAGCATTCAAATTTATACATCCTGGAGATGGAAAATATGCATGAAAATAATGATATGGTCAAAACACTTACTTGCCAAATAATTGTGCACACAGTGGGTATGTATGTACTTATTTTCCCCGAAAATAAGACCCAGTCTTGTGTTTTTTGTTTTCCTCCAAAGAGGCACCAGGTCTCATTTTCGGGAGGGGGTATCTTTTCCACTCATCTCCAGCAACGACAGCCCCGCCCAGCCGGCCCACTTCTTCTGCGACAAAAGGAGCAGCTTCATTTTGCAGCAGTTTCATCATATTTTTCTAATATCATACAAATAATATCAATTCATAAATCAATAATGTCAATTCATTAATATCCTGTTTGATTTTCCATCAGTATTTGAAATATCCTTATCAGTTATAGTTTTCTCAATATTAATTACATTTATATAGCTGAAAGTTTTATTCAACTCAATCCTTCATATTTTCCATATCCAAAAAAAGAAAAAGAAAAAAGTGATATCTTAATTCTAAATCATGTCTTTCATTGTAAAAGTCTAATTATATCTAAAAGTCTTCCATTCTTTTAATCTTATTCAAAAAAGTACTTAAACATATAATGCTCCCTCTAGAAGGTCAAATCTTCTGTTTTTTAAATTGAACTCTCGCTTTCTTTCTTTGCCAAGTCGTTTTCCAAGCCAGGGCAATTAGATCGCCCAGGAATTTTCTTTCTATTTTTTTGTAAAAATTGCTTGGCATGAGGAAAACAATTTAGGTAATTTTGGGGGGGGGAGTTCCATACATTTATATTCCTTAAACAACTCCCAGTTCCTTTCTCCCTCCATTTCTCCTTTCATTCCCTGTCTCCCAAGTTGTGACATTTCCCTTAACAGCTCTACATTCCCTTTTTAAAAATCTTCTTCCTTGCCATCAGATATATTTTGCAGACCTAAGGGGTAAAAGGTTTTTTTGCATTTTCGTTGTTATAGCTAAGTCTTGCAGTTCTTTTATCTCTTCCATCTCTAAATCCATTTCCTCTGTTTCGTCTTCTGATTTCTGGATTGTTCATACTTCATAGTCATTATCTGGGAGCTTTCTAGTTGTAGATTTAATTTGGAGATTTGCTCATTTATATTGTCTAAATTGATTTTAGTCTCATGATTTCTTTTTATATCCTTTTTGCATTCAACAATTGTTTGGTGAATTAGTTGTAGCATAGAATATATTTCTTTCTCAAAGATGTTTGTTTTTTCTTCCTGGAGATTAGTTTTCTGGTCTTTATATGTATACTTTATAATCCAATATATTCCAAAGTATAGGTTCAGTTCTGAAAGCAATATTTTATAGTAATTCCTTGGCTCAAGTATCGTCAATCTGGCAAGGTTGTAATCCACAATATTCAAAGTGTTCAAAATGTTCAACAGCTCAAAAGTCTCTCCCAGCTAGGCGTAGTCCAAGGTCAAATTTTTCTTTCTCTCCCACTATTTCTTGAAGTTAGGTCCAAGCTCAGTAGGTATTTATAATCCAAGGTCAGGATGATATGTATGCCAAAATATTTTCCTTTATTGCCAGCTGTTCTCCCAGGGTAGGAATCACCAAGCAAAGCAAATTATAGTGCAATACACAAATCCACCACTAGATGTCATTCAAAGTCCATTTTCCACTCTTAAAACAAAGGATTGATTTCTTATATTTTGCCTCAAATGTTTTTTTTTCCCAAAGAGAAAATCTTAACAGTTATCTCACTTCTCAAATTTATCAAAACTGTAGCTTTATGTTACTTCCATTTCACTATTGTATGTTTCTGTCCCCCATAAAATTAAAATGCCACTTCTGTTTACATTGGGAAGTTTTTCACTTCTTGGAAGCCTTTTCCAGGAAATTCAGTTGTAAAATAGTAAAGAAAGGATCAATATTCTCACCCAGTTTCAAATATGCTGTTTACAATGTATTAAGTAGTGCTTTTTTCCTCTTCAGTTGTCAGCAGCTAATGGCCGGCCACAGGAATGTAGCCGGTCTTTCCCCTGCCGGTTTGGAGGGTTTTCCTTGGATCGAACGAAAAGACCGTCATCTTTCCGTGATCGACAAGGCATGCCTCCTCTTCATCGCCTCTTCGGGTGATTTTAGGTCCTTTTTAGGGCCCCAGCAGGGCAAAATCAGGCATGGAAGGCAGAGCCCTGCCTTCCTGCGTCCTGTTCCACTGCGACGCAAACTGGAAGTCTGCTTCAGATTTTACTGGGAGGATAATGCTAAGGAACACATGGGTGCAAACAGGAATGTAGCCCAGGTTAAATTATTAAAGCAGCTGTGTTAGTTTAAAAGATTGCATAGCTACAGTGAAAATTTCTTTAAAGCAGTTATGTGATTCTGGAAGAAACTGCTTCAATTAGTCCTTGACTATATCCTAATTGGAAATGGAGTTTCCATCGGTGAAGCAATAATTAAGTGAATAGTTAACATCACATAGCCAGATGACTTAGCAATGGCAATCCCAATTACAGTTGTTAAAAAGATCTGATTCTGTCATTAGGTGAGGACTTCCTATGATTGTCAGCTTCCCATTGACTTTGCTTATGGCTAGGAAGATTGCAAACCCTTGACACCTTCCACTCCAATTCAAACCATTTCCAGCTTGGTTTTTCCCAGCCCCGAGCTTCAGTTCTTCCAAGACAGGGGACACTTTCAAGGGATCAATGAGCAAAAAGAAGTTGACCTCCTCTTGCCTTTTGCAAACTGCCTCTGCTTCAATTTCCTACTCTCCTATCTCCCCCCTCCGTTTCTGTCCTTTTGGCTACCCTGCACAGCACAAGTGAGATGAAGATGCCACTATATTCTGCTGTAATCTACCTGTTGCCACCACTGTCCCCAACATAGTTTCTTTCTTGACTTCCTATGTGGAGCTGTCATTGTCTTCTTCCTTGTCCTCAGTATACATCATGTTTAATCTATACTGAGCTTGCTACTGCCTCCTCTTTGGTGTCCACCCCTCCAGGGAGTACTTTTCGTGGTCCTAGGAGGAGCAAGCTGAGACTAATGTGGGTTAGGCTCATCAGGAGCCCAACTGCTGGGAAGGTGGATGACAAATCAGAGGTGGGTCCATCACTGATGGTGGGCCCAGTGGAAGGAAGGGGAAGCAGATGCAAAGGAAGAGAAAGATGTGCTGAGGAGTAAAAAGAGGGGAAGACCTAGTGGGGGTGGCTGCCAGGTGGTGGTGATATACAGCAGTATCTTCCTATTGGCTAAACTGTACAGGTGACAAAAAAGGCAGAGATGGGGAGAGGAAATAGGTTGCTGATGGGAGTTGAAGTGGAGACAGTTCATTCAGGGAAGGAGAACGTGACTGAGACACTGCAATTATCATAACTGAGATAGGTCACCAAATGGCCAAATTTTGATCATGTGACTGGAAATGCTGAAATGGTCGTAAGTGTGAGGACTTATAAGCCCTTTTTTCTGCACTATTGTAACTTTGGTCACTGAACAAATGGTTCATAAGCAAGCACTGCAGGTAGTGATTGTTTTATGACAACAATTGGGACTGGATTTCTGGTCATAAGCCACTATCCTCATAAGTCAATGCACCCACATGACCAAACCTGATTTCACTTTTTTTACAGTGCTGAGGAGTAAAAAGAAGGGAAGGTCTGGTGGGGGCGGCTGCTAGGTGGTGGTGGTCTTAAATGAATCACCATAGTCATTAAGTGAACAAGGTTGTAAGTGCAAACCCATTCTTCTGAATGGAGTTTTTTTGCCAGAAAAATGTCAAAAACTGTCAAAAAATATTGCAAATCATAGTCACATGACCACTACAACTGGTTGTAAAGGCAAGTCAGTTTGCCAAGCATCTGAAATGCAGTCACATGATTGCAAGGGGGTAGCATGACATTTTACAATGGCCAAACATTTGGTTTAACATATTGCACATACCCTGACTTGAAGTTCAGTCATAAAGTGCAGCAGATTTATTTGAAATTAAACTATGAATGCTCCACTGTATCATATATTGTGGTGTATTTTATGAATAATGTACAAATCTTGATTCTTGCTCTGAATATTTTATACTTGGAAACAATATGACTAGGATTGTCTTATAATTGTCCAAATAAATTATTTTCTTATGATATGATTAATGAAATACTAAATAAATAAACTAGCATTAATTCTAAACCATTGAAAGCTGCTTTCTAGGAAATAAACTTTGAGTAGTGCAGACTAATATAAAACATGGTTTCAGAATAATGCTAGTGTTTAATTTGTATAAATTAAATATTTTTATGTGATTAAGGCACTAGAAAGCACTAGGAAGAAAAAAATGCCCATTAAGAAAATTGGCACATATCCAATTTGTAGCTTTACATAATTGCATGTAGGCATTTAAAGCTACAAAATGATCTCAAATTAATTTATATAGTTGTCAACATTTTTTAGGCACCACTTGATTTTAGTAGGCTATAACACTGATACTATTGCTTCTTTTTAATTATTTTTAAGGGAAAGAAGAAGTTGTTAAGAAAATGGCAATAAAGCTGGGGAAAAAACAATTATATAGTTTAATAAACTGAAAATTGTTTACAGATTGTTAGGTATATCTTGGGCTTTTGGTTCTCCCTTATGAACATATTTTTTATTTGCAGATCATTAATAATTATAAGTACTTTGGATGGACGGATTGCTGCTTTAGATCCAGAAAACAGTGGTAGAAAACAATGGGATCTGGACGTGGGATCAGGTTCTCTTGTTTCATCTAGTCTTAGTAAACCAGAGGTAAGATTAGTATATTTAATCACTGTTTCTTAGAATTTGTAGGGAGGGATTAATTACACTATAATATTTCTTCACCTCTATGCTAGTTGAAGTACCAAGAATGCTGGGACCTTAGATCTCATTCCTAAAGATTCCTGATTGGAAATCTGATAAAGTGCGTAGGAATGCATGAGAGGTGCAAGGGGAGCAAACAATTTCTGTAAGCAAAGCCTCCTTTGACCAGGATCCGGCATAGGAGAGATTACCTACAGAAATTGCTTGCTTCCCCCTCTCACAGAGCAGAGAGATTGGAGTGAGAAAGATTTCAAGAGAGTACTATTTCTGCAATGTGCCTGCAGCTCCCAGCCCTGGTCTTCCAACACAATCATATTGTTTTCAATATGTGAAAGAGCAACAATTTATTCCCTTACAATCCCTTCCTCTCCAATCTTTCTGTCTTCAAGTGGAGGATGGGGAGAAAAAAGAGGTCAGATACATGACAACATGTATTGATCGTAATGGTGATTGTATCACTGAGTGATGCTTTGAATGTCGTAAATTGGCTGTAAAGTTATTTTTTCAGCTTGTTCATAACTTTGAATGATCACTGAAAAGTAGTTGTTAAGCAAGGAATACCTGTAATGCACTTTCACCAAAAAAGTCTAATGCTTTTCTCCATCATATTTATTATAAACTACTAAGTAATTGAATTGCTGAAACCTCTCCTGCATTTTCTGCCCTTCAACTAACTTTAAGTAGACTTCAGTTTTCTTCTACAAACCTTGTTGAGTCCACATTTGGAGGTTAGTGGACTCAGGTATATAAGAAAAGAAGTGAAAATTATAAAAACAGTGGATTAATCTGCTTAAGCAAGCTCTAATTGCTGTAAATATCTCTAATCTGCTCCATCTTTCTTGACAGTTTGCAAATGCTTGTTAGATAAGTTTATGTTTTAACAAATTTTTAAATTCACAAGTATCCATTTTTATTTTTATATGAAATATAAGTATTTCTTATTTTTGTGGAGGTCTGCTGGCAAACTTGGAAATACTCACATTGCCTAGTTCAGGGGTAGGCAACCTTGGCTCTTTTATGACTCATGGACTTCAACTCCCAGACTGGGAGTTGAAGTCCATGAGTCATAAAAGAGCCAAGGTTGCCTACCCCTGGCCTAGTTTATATTAATATTAATTATGATGTATTTTCTTTTTATTGAAGTTGAAAAAGTTAATAAAATCTAGAATTACTTTTTTTAGAACTATAAATTAGCTCTTTAACACTAATTTACATTAACCAGGAGTAACACTATAATTTCTTCAATTCTTAATCTAGGTTTTCAAGAATTCATAGTTCACTTTCAAAATATGACCAATTTTTTACAACAAACATTCTCAGAAACCATTTATAGTACCAATTTGGAGTTCTTTCAAAACAGTTTATTGGAATGATTGTGGAAACATAATTTTACTTTATATGTGTGTGTGTGTGTGTGTGTTTATTGGACATCAAGATGAACGCCATGATAACTAATCTTGTTTTGTTAAAAAATATGTGAAAGGATTAAAAATCCTTACAAACAGGATGTGCATAGATATCCTAATCTTTAATGATAATCTTAACTTTAATTAAAATCCTTAATGATAATCTGTAGTCAGTTTTAGAAATAAACTCTAACAGAATAAGGTTATTTTGTTTTGAACTAAAGCTCCTCAGTTTTGTCTCTTCTGCCATTTTGCTTCCTCTGTGGTTCCTACTTTATTTACTTTAAATACTTTATTTACTTTAAATACTGGTAAGGTGATCTGGCTTGTTTGTGTTAGTTAATTGGCATCAGAATTTCTGTTACTAAGCTGCACAGTGATAAAATATGGTGTCATGTGACTGCATCATTAGCAATGCAATCTTGGATGCCATCATAACCCCAAGGTCACTTGAGTTATTAAGCAGGAAGAGGCGGAGTCCCAGGCAAGTGGGTGAAAAAGTAGTAGTTGCTTGACCATTTCTGACTTTGCACTTTCCCATTGACTATGCTTGTGAAAGGAACATCAGCACATCTGCAATCACGTGATTTAAGCTCTTTCTAATATATGAGAGCCAGGTACTAGGTTTTATAGACCACTCATAAATCTTCTTCACACAGTGCTGTAACCTTGAACAGCTGCTGGATGAGTGATTGTAATTTAAGGCTTACCTGTAGAGATACTCATTTTATAGCATATTCATTTCTTAAGACATCAGTAGTTTCAGTGAGGAGACATGCACATACGATGGAACCATTGTGGATATTGCTTGCATGTATTAGAGTGGATAATTAATTTTTCATCTATCTTTTTACACACTTCTGACCTTTTTTTAAAAAAAAATTGTTTTTTTTTAAGTTAAATTAATTATTTAAATTAAAACATTCCTTTCCCAAGTTTGAATTATTTAGATGTTTCATATCTCATTCAAACTGTTGCTTCTGTGCCACCTTAGTAATTTTTCATTAGGTAAATGAGATGGTCCAATACACATATGTTAATCACAAATTGTTATATAATTATCTATCCTTGGAATTCTACAGCATGACGAGTGGAGAATCCACCAATGGGTTCTGCTTGTCTTTTGCCCGTAGACTAAGTCAGCCAATTTTGCTCCGCCTCTCCTCTTGAGACGCCCCTTTCCCAGTCTCGACTTAGTCTCAGCCCAGACAGACAGATTTATCTTGGCTCCAGACTCAAAAGACTTTAAATCAGGTCGTATTCTTCTATTATTGCTTTCACTCGAGGAGGGGGGAGCAAAGGACGAATGGAGATTCGTTTCACTGTTCTTTCATTTTGTGGCCGAATTGAACCGCAGCCACGAGGCTTGCCCTTAGGCCAACCGATCCCGGAGGGAGAACAAAGAGCCGGACACCATTTTGGCTCCGCGTGGGCTCCAGGACAAGGGGAGGATTCCCTCCCACCCCCCAACTACAGGGATCGCTTCAGTTCCCCTCTTCCGGGACAGCCAAAATTTTAAAATTCAAGCAGCCACAGGGATAGGGATTCCGCGAGGATTCCTCGAAGCCCAGCTGATCCGTGGAAGCCCAGCTGGCCCGCGGACAACTAACAGGTCTCCGAAGCCTTACCGAAGCTCAGCTGATCTGCAGAGGGCATCATACCTCCCGCGGCTTCTATTCTTTAGTCCAGCTGATCCGCGGTGAGCGTCAGGGCTCCCGCAGCTTCCCTCGGTAACCCACGGCCTCACTGAAGCTCAGCCGATTGGCTGGGAGCTTTAAATCTCCGTGCGCATTTTCCCTGGAGCTCAGCCAGCAGGCGGAGTGCAAAGGAGGCTTCTGATGAGCTCGGGGAACTCAACGGTGTTGCGGAGAGCTATCAAGGGAGCAGAATCTTCTCTCGCTATCCCTAATCTCTATCCAAAATATTACACACACACACACACACACACACACAAGACTATTACAGTCCAGATTGTCCCTGGACTAGAATTTCACCAGGCCTCCTAATAGAGACCTCTCAGGCTTGCACTGGGAGATCTCCCTTTGACAAATAGCAGACACAAACACTATCAAGACAGCGCAGGAAACCTCCATTAGCCCCTCCCCCCCAGTTGTAAGAGGCAAAAATCATCCAAGCAGGAGGTGGCTGGCAGGATCAAAGCCAAGGCAATATCTGGTAAAAGACCTTCTAAGACAGCGGATAAGGAGGCCAAATGTCGACACCAGGCTCTGGAAAAACAGTTTTCTAGAGCTGAGAAGAGGCAAAGCTCAGTGGAGGACGGGCTAGAACCACCTAGTTACTAGGGGGAGGAAATATTTGGCCCGAGAAAGCCTAGTCAGGAACCTCTGGAAACAGAGGCTGACACGGAACAGGGGATCGGATCTCCCCTAAGTGAGGGGCCTGGAGGTCTGGGGACGGAAACAGACCCCGTACTTCAGACAATCATGGAGCATTGTCATCAGAACACTTAATCCCTGATATCTCAGGCCATCGCCCAGGCCATGGCCTCTTTAAGACATCATTGCTCCAGAACAGGGTCTGTGGCTTCAAAGGGTGGCTGCCGTCTTTCCCAAGAGGAAGCCTTTGTGTACCAGGACTCAATTTCCCCCTCTCGGACCTCCAGAGGCAGGAGGTCTCCTGCGGAGGACCATGAGCTGACGGATCAGGGGGTGTCAGAGGAAGAAGATACATCCCCAGATCCTCCACCATTCGTGGGCCTTTTTAACCCGTCTCTATTCAAACCCCTGCTCCACAAGGCCAGCAGCACCGCAAAGATTGAGAGACCTTTGCTTCCTCAGAAGGGACCCTCAACTAGTCAGGTCACAAACAACAAGGTGTTTTCACAGCCCACTTGTACACAACAATTTATCCCCTGCCCCCCTCTGTTCTTTGATACAGTTCAGAATAACATGGGGGCATCGGGGTCTTTCCTCCCAATGGGGGGGACAGACAAGAAAATGTTCAACATAGATCCGGCCCTATCGGAGGTAATAGAGGTTTCGACAGTAGATGAACCCCTAGCTGCTCTCTTTTCTCCATCCACGGTAGCCGGGGATGCGGTGGAGGCTCTGAAATCAGAAGATAAGAAGATGGATCTCACCTTCCGCAGGGCACACCAGGCCTTGGCGTGGGCAATTAAGGCAGCCATCTCTACCTCCTTTTTCGCTAGGACTTCGCTACTCTGGCTACGCCAACTCCAGGCGAGTACCTCTCCAGAGGAGGAGAGAACCTACCAGAACTTAAGAAGGTTAGTAGCGGCAGCGGAGTTCATGTCAGATTCATCCTTACACGCAGCAAACTATTCTGCAAGGGTAATAGCGTACAACACCGGAGCACGCAGATTGCTGTGGCTCAAACAGTAGAGAGCCGACATTAAAGCAAAGTGGCAGTTGGTGGCAGCACCCTACAGGGGCGGCTGGCTTTTCGATGAGGCCCTTGATCCTTATCTGATAGAGAACAAGGACAAACGCAAGGTACTGGCCCACCTGTCAAGGAGAACGGAGAGGAGAGTCTCCCCCCACCCCCGCAGACCGTCCTTTCGATCTGACACAGGCACAGAGCAAAGTTCCTTTCCCCGCCCCTATCAGCCTAGGTCAGACTGACAGAGTGATAGAACCGGCAACAGAGACAGGTTCAGACAACAGTTCCAATCAAAGTGGCCCTTTCGAGGAGCGGGAGGTCGCCCCTACCGAAGATCCAAGTGATGGCGGGGAGGACTCCCCCATTGGTGGCAGGCTAGCTCTTTTCACTCACAAATGGCAAGCCACCACCACGGACCTTTGGGTCCTAAATACCGTCAGATTCAGCCTCTCACTGGAATTCATATCAACACCCCCGAACGCTTCATTCCTTGTCCATCTCCAAGGGATCCGACCAAACCTTATCAAGGAGGCCATCCAACACCTACTGGACATCCAGGCCATAGAACCGGTAGAGAGAGACCAGTGGGGACAGGGATTCTATTCCATTTTGTTCATAGTCCCAAAGAGTTCGGGGTGGTAGTGGAGAGCAATTCTAGACTTAAAAAGCCTCAACAACAACTTGGCATACAGAAAGTTCAAAATGCAAACCCTTTAGTCAATATTAGCAATCATCAGAAAGGGAGACCTCCTGACGTTCATAGATCTGACGGAGGCCTACCTTCACATTCCCATACTTCCGGAACACCAGAGGTTTCTCAGGTTCTGTCACACAGGGCAGCATTTTCAATACAGGGCCCTGCCTTTTGGACTTTCTTCAGCTCTCAGAGTATTCACAAAGATACTGGCGACACTCGCGGCACATCTGCGAATAATTCCTGTGCGCATTCAATGTTATCTGGACGACATTCTCATCCAATCCTCGTCAGTTCAGTCAGCACAGTCAGATCTAGCAATGACTCTAACAACCCTTCAGGAACACGGATTGACGGTCCCATAGACCCGCCTTCTTCATCTGGGAGCTGTGATAGACACACTACAGTGCAAGGTCTACCTCTCTCAAGATCGCCAAGACAGCATTCAAACCATGGTCAGATTGATTCGAAAGAAGCGAACCACAACACTGGCCACACTTTCCCAATTACTAGGAAAGATGATTTCATGCCTTGCAATCGTGCCCTGGGCACGGCTACACTCCAGAGATCTGCAGTGGTTCCTACTCCTGTTCCAAAAGAGGAGAATAGGCTCATCCAACCGAAGAGTAAGGGTCCCACCAGGGGTCCTGAAGTCGCTCCAGTGGTGGGCTTCTCCAGCGATGGAAAAGGGAGACATGTTCAAGGAAACCAACCAAGTCACTCTGACCACAGACGCCAGTCTATTCGGTTGGGGAACACACCTACAATCGCAGCTGGCACAGGACCAATGGTCAAAGGAGGACCTAAAGCACAACATAAACTGGTTAGAGCTTAGAGCCATACACCTGGCCCTTCGCCACTTTCACAACGCAGTAGCGGATCAGCATGTCCTGGTTCTCACGGACAGTGTGGCGGCCAAAGCCCACGTCAACCAACGGAGGGCACGCGATCCAGGTCCCTCATGACCGAGGCACAGGAGCTGGGAACCTGGGCCAAAAGCAACCTAGTCTCCCTCAAGGCCGAGCACATATCAGGAGAAGCAAATCATCAGGCGGACTTCCTAAGCGGGCGATGGTAGACCACTCAGAGTGGAGCCTGCACCCTGCTCTCTTCAGGGAAGCATCAGAGAGATTCGGCCACCCAGTGCTGGACTATTTGCCAGCCCCCAAAATGCTCAGCTCCCAAGGTTCTTCTCCCGCTTTCTGTCACCGGGGGCAGAGAGAGCAGATGCGCTTCGAGGTCATTGGCTGGAAGGACTGCTATACACCTTCCCACCACTTCCTCTGATACAAGCAACCATCAGAAAGATATTGCAGGAATAAGCAGAGGTAATTCTCATTGGACCACACTGGCCAAGACGGCTGTGGTTTGCCAACCTCGTAAGCCTTTCTACATCCCCACCATGGAGGATTCCACACGATCAAATCTCCCTCAACCAGGGGGCTCTACTTCATCCAGAGCCACAATGGCTCCAATTAGCCGCCTGGCACTTGAACGGAGCCTCCTAGAAGGGGAGACCTTTTCACAAAGAGTCATCAAGACAATTCAGGCCTCTAGAAGGCCTACAACTAACAGAATCTATGACTCCACGTGGAGAAATTATTGCAGCTGGTGCACAAAACAACAGCTAGACCCCTTTAGTATTTCGATCCCAAGGATCTTAGACTACCTAACAGAAGGCCTGGATAGGGGACTAGCACCCAACACAATTCGCAGACAGGTGGCCACTTTATCCACCATTCTTACCTATGGCAACTCTGAGCCACTAGCCATGCATCCAGTGGTGCGATCCTTCATTAAGGGCGCAACAAACAACAGTCCACCCGTGGTCCACAGATATCCCTCCTGGGATCTGTCTAAGGTCCTACCTTACCCCCATTTGAACCTGTTCGGACCTACGCCTTACAACACTTGACTCTTAAGGTCGCCTTTCTGGTCACTGTTACTTCAGCTAGGTGCATTTCAGAGTTGGCAGCACCAGTGCTTTTTTTCTAAAAAAAAAAAAAAAAAGGTGCCGGGACTCCGTTCTGGGCGTTCTATGAGAAAAAAAGCCCTCGGCAGCACTATCAGTTAGAGAGGATCTGTGTATCTTCCACACAGACAGGGTGGTCCTACGTTTGGACCTTTCCTTCATTCCCAAGGTTAATTCCCTATTTCACAGAACACAGGAGGTAGTGCTACCAAACTTTTGCCCTGAGCCCTCCCCTGAATTGGAGCGCAAGTGGCACATCTTAGACGTTCGTAGGGCTTTAAGACAATACATTAAACGAACGGCACCCTTCCACTCTCATGCAAGAGGTCAAAGGGTCACAGCATCCACGATCGGAAGATGGATTAGGAGGTGCATAGCAGAGGCATACAGGGGACAGTCGTTAGCAGTCCCCAGGCAAATCACTGCACACTCCACTCGCAGCACTGCCACTTCAGCAGCCTGGGCGACTCAGGCACCGATTGAGGAAATATGCAGGGTGGCGACGTGGGCGTCACCTTCCCCCTTTATAAGACACTACAAGTTAGATAGGTTCGCATCTGCGGAAGCCTCCTTCGGCAGGAGGGTCCTCCAAAGTGTAGTATCAGAGAGTGGGACACAGGCCCAGACTGACTCCCACCCGTAGGGATAGTGAGGCTTTGGTATGTCCCATTTGTGGATTTTCCAGTCGTCATGCTGGAGAAGAGGCGTTGTCTTACCTGAACGCCTTTTCTCAGCATGACGATGGAGAATCCACTCCCGCCCTTTGGGCCAGTCAGGTCCTGTGCTGGGAGAAGATTGAGCCAATACAAGGTTACATAGCCAACAGCTTTCGCCTCAGTCAAGACTGGGAAAAGGGCGTCTCAGGAGGAGAGGCGGAGCAAAATTGGCTGACTTAGTCTATGGGCAGAAGACAAGCAGAATCCATTGGTGGATTCTCCATTGTCATGCTGAGAAAAGGCGTTCAGGTAAGACAATGCCCCTTCTGTTGCTTTTTCCATTATTCCTACTCTTGTCTAGATAAACTTTAGTATCTATAATTGCATGTTAATAATATAACCTCCAGTTCCTCTATTTCTTATGATTCCTACCCACATTTCTGCCAGATTTTGTTCCATGTATGTGGCTTTTTATTTTTTAAAGCAAGACCTTTCCTTGTCTTTGATCCAAAATGCAGTGGATCTCTTATCTAAGAGTAGCAAATCAGTTATTTTTCTTTTTTCTGGAAAAGACAGTGGCTTTGATCTAAGAACGCTGACAAACTATTCTATATGCTGAAAGGGCTTATAAATTTTATTTTTGAATAATAGACCCACAAAGTACATATTTTAGCCTTAAAAGTAATTTGTAGAAAGATACTGGGCTCTGCTATTTTGAAAATGCAACAAGACAATCCCAAGTGTACACTCATTTCAGTTTTGTAGAAGAAACACTTCCTTTGGGGGGATCTTAGTTTATTCAAAGAAGATTAAAATACAAAAGACCAAAATATTTTTAAAAAAGGACAAAAGTGTAAAAAAGACTTTAAAAAGAAAACATGTAAAAATATAATACAGCAATGTTGGTTTCCTACCCCTTGCATAACAGGCCAAAAGAATTTTAAACTATTAAACTACTTAATCTATTTACAAATTGTTAGCCTATCATCTATAAACTATATTATTAAAAAATTGTCCAAAAAAACCAATGAAAAATTATATAAAAGTAATAAAAATTGTGAACAATAATAAGAAAAAAACAAGACTGAAATTCCAAAACGCTCTGTGAACAAACTGTTACTGTAATCAACCCATAGAGAATTTACCATGGTTTCAATCCCAAATCATTCTTCCCACAAGAAGAAACCCCCTGTTCCATTCTTTCTCTCATAGCCTACTTCATGTATATAATTAGACTTCACAATGCCTTCCATTCTCAAGAAATTACTGATTATGATTTTCCACCAAATGAAAAATTATTTAAATCTCAAGGAAGTGATGAGGAACATTTATAATAATCTATTGTTATAAACTTAACATGCCTTAAAACATTGATATGCATAAAAAATGAGTTTTCAATCCTTCAGTGGTTTACTGAGAAAAGAGCAGGTAAAAATAGTGAAATAATCTGGCTGAGATAGGCACAGATAAACAAGTTAGCTTAGAAGTCAGTTTATTTAGGTGGTTTGACTGTATAGCTGAAATAAATGATGATTTGTGTCATAGAATGTAGTCAATCAGAAAAGGAACATGATCAATGCACAATTGTGGATATGCATTGATTAAATATCTTTATGAGTCATTGTGGCATTTTTCTATTGATCTGGATCTTATTTGATTTTAAATATTTCTGGATTCTGATCATTGTATTCTTCTTTTCCTTATTAAAATGTATGCTTCTATTTGAATATTTTGTAGGTGTTTGGGAATAAAATGATAATTCCCTCCTTGGATGGAGATCTTTTCCAGTGGGATCGTGACAGAGAGAGCATTGAAGCTGTTCCATTCACTGTTGAGTCACTTCTTGAATCATCCTACAGATTTGGGGATGATGTAGTTCTGGTTGGAGGAAAGTCCCGAACAACATATGGACTGAGTTCATATTCAGGAAAGGTAAAACAAGACAACTTTGGCAACAGAGTTTTGACAATGTTTATGAGTTTTTTAAATTGTTTTGAAATAGTTTATAGCCAACCTATCTGGTAAGATTTTATAAAAATTGTAAAAACTGACTTGCCTTTTGTCAGTTTCAGTCATATTACAAATTGAATGTTTAATTTATTTCATTTCTTATGTACCATGTTTTCCCCAAAATAAGACCCACTGAGAAAATAAGTCATAGCCTGATTTTTTGCCATGCGCCTAATATAAGCCCTACTCCAAAAATAAGCCCTAGTTAAGAGCCCGCCTACTTCATCCCACCATCTAGTTGTTTGCTGCAACGAGTCAGGACAGTGTGTGTTGCACCGTTGCCACCACAAGATGAGGTGAGGCAGGTGGAGGTGGAACTGCCTCACATGCGCTTACATCAGGGTCCCCTCAGACAGGCCACTCCCCGCTCAACGGCCTCCCCCGTCTGTTCAATGACCCAGCTGTCTGCCTCCTCTTCTCTTTCAGTCGCTTCCCGAGCCAGACTGCCATGCTACAGAGGATGGGCAGGGGAGGCTCAGTCATGTTACCCATCCCCCTCCACCATTTCAGAGCCGAGGGGAGTGATGGCGAAAGGCTCTTACACTGCTGCGCAACAGTCTGTGTTCACCACTAGAGGGGCTTTATTTGGTCCTGGCTGCCCCCGTTTCACCCCGCAGATCACCCGCCTGGCAGCAGCCTCCACCAGTTCTCCCGTGGCTTGCACTGTGACTAGGCGGCGCAAGCTTCCCTGCTGCCTCCCTCTCCTGCCATACTCTTTCCTTTTGCAAGTAGACGAAGCTTCCAGTCCATTATTTCTCCATCTGGGCAAAAAGTGTTTGGGCCCCTATGGGGCACTTGGAAACAGCGAATCGCTCTGTTTCCAAGTGCCCTATAGGTGCCCAAACACTTCTTGCCCGGACGGAGAAATGATGGAGATTGGAAGCTTCGTCTGCTTGCAAATGGGGTGCTTGGAAACGGAGCAAATCGCTCCATTTCCAAGTGCCCCATTCGCAAGCAGACAAAGCTTCCAGTCTCCATCAGATCTGTGTTTGAGTGCCTATGGGGCGTTTGGAAACAGAACAGATTGCTCCATTTCCAAGCACCCCATAGGCGCCCAAACACTGTTCACCTGGTTGAGAAATGACAGAGACTGGAAGTTTGTCTGCTTGCAAATGGGGTGCTTGGAAATGGAGTGAATTGCTCTGTTTCCAAGTGCTCCATTTACAAGCAGATGAAGCTTCCAGTCTCCCTCTGGGTGAAAAGTGTTGCGCCCCAATACTTTTCATCCGGATAGAAAAATGACAGAGACTGGAAGCTTTGTTTACTTCCAAAAGGAAAGAGTGTAGCAGGTGGAGGCGGCAGGGGAGGCTTGCGCCACCCGTTTCTTCGGTTTCCCCTGCCTGTCTGACCCGGTCTTATTTTCGGGGAAATGGTAATTCAGTAACTACCAACATGATTTGTAATAAAAACACAAAATATTTTCTCTCAAAAGCACTGTGGTGTGTGTATGTGAGTGCTTTAACATTAGAGTTTGCTCCAAATGAAGCACCATTTATATATGACTTAGGGAATACATTTTTACTTTTTGAATTCAAATATAAAAATGGAATATAATATAAAATATCAGAACTTCCACTTTATTAATAAAGATATCGGCATCTAAGGGAGAGCCTGTTTTATTAAATATTTCCTTCTGGCGCCAGGTAAAATACATATGTTCAGCAATGGGCTGTCGTCGCTGGGATGATGATGAGATAGAGCAGGAAGATATTCTTCTCCTACATAGAACTCAGAAAACTGTTCGTGCTGTTGGGCCCCGCAGCGGCAATGAAAAGTATGTATAGTAGTATTATATCTTAATAAATTAATAATTCTTCTCCATAGTTTCTGCATATGATGTACCTGCATCCCAAGGTTAGTACAGGTAGTCTTTGACTTATGACTACAATTGAGCCCAAAATTTCGGTTGTTAAGTAAGACACTTGTTAAGTGAATTTTGTCCTATTTTACAACCTTTCTCTTGCTGAAGTTGTTAAATTAGTAACATGGCTGTTAAGTGAACCTGACTTCAACATTGACTTTGCTTGTTAGAAAGTTGCAAAAGATGATTTCATGACCCTGGGACACTGCAACCATTATAAATATATGCCAGTTTCCAAATATCTGAATTTTGATCACATCACCGTGGGGATGCTGGAATGATTGTAAGTGTAAAAAAATGGTCCTAAGTCACTTTTTTCGATGCCATTGTAACTTCAAATGATCAATAAATGAATGGTTGTAAGTCAAGGATTATCTGTATTGGAATCGTCTAAGGTAGAGAAGATTATTTAGCAGAATGCATAATCAACTTTCCCCTCATTTTTTTTATTGCCACTACAGCAACAGCATTTAATAATGGAAAGACAATAGAATGTATCTAGATACGTTATGTAAATATAGAAGGACAAAAGGTTGAAAATTACTATAAAGATAAATATGTAAGAAGTAAATTTTAACTTACATATCAACATATAGCTTTCTTGTTTTATAATTAACGAATGACATAATTTAGTAAATAATTACTTCCTCCTGGAAAAAATATGCAAAGATAAGACAAACATTGAGGCACTTTTCCCTTAGATTAAGTTTATAGATTTTCTCCCTTAATCTAGTTTTTAGTTAATATTAGTACATTGGAGATTAGTTATACCAAATTAGTTTTACTACATTTCTGAATGTTAGGATGCATTATTTCAGAAACGGTATGACATTTATATTATAAAGATAGAACTGATATGGAATCACAGTTTTGCCCTTTTTTTAAAGGTGGAATTTTAGCGTTGGTCATTTTGAACTACGTTATATCCCGGAGACTGAAACAAGGGTAGGATATCTTGAAGGGAATATGAAATCAAATATTAACAAAGAAGATTCTAAAATCATTTCGGAAGTAGAAGAACAGGAAGCTACAATGAAGGATACAGTGATAAAGGTTTCAGTAGCTGACTGGAAGGTTATGGCATTTAATAAGAAGGAAGGACATCTAGAATGGGAATATCAGGTACTAAAGATGGGGAATATGTTAATGCTGTTTAGAAATATCATAATGTTACCAAAACATTTTTTATTTTCTTTTAGTATTGTGGAACTTAAATTTTTTAAAACAATTATCTTCTGTATAAATTGTACTTTGTATTTGTAAAAACCTGTGTATTAAAAACTAATGTCACATTTATTGGATTTTTTTTAAAAACAATGATTTATTTTATTTTCAGTTTTGCACTCCAGTTGCTTCTGCTTGGTTGGTGAAAGATGGCAAAGTAATTCCAATCAGTCTCTTTGATGACACAAGCTATACTTCTAATAATAATATCTTAGAGGATGAAGAAGATCTTGTGGAAGCTGCTCGAGGAGCCACTGAATCCAGTGTTTATTTAGGTATGCTGCCTACTTAAACATATGGCATCGTTTTTTGTCCCAGTCTCTATAGACAACTTCTGTATTTTTTTTATATTTTTATATGTTGTTTATATATTTATATCGATTATGATTTTTTCAAGAAAACAAAAGGTTTTGAATCTGAGCTATGCTTTTAATGTATTTTGCATTATTGTATCCATATATACTTTGTTTTTCTGAAAATAAGCCCTAGTATTATTTTTCAGGATGCTTATAATATAAGCCCTACTCCAAAAATAAGCCCCAGTTAAGATTGTCAGCCAGACGGATGCATTTAGTACAGGTAGTCCTTGAGTTAGGAATGTAATGGAGCCTGCCCATTCCATTCATAACTCGAGGATTCATAGGAGTGAATCTCGTACCTTGAACACGATTCACTCCCAGGTTTTACCCATGCATTCACTAATTTAATGCGTGGGCGAATGCGTGACTTGTTAAGTGAACATGAAGTATCTCAGCGTGGGGAAGGCCATGGGGGGCCTAGTTATGAAACAGGCCATCTTCAGACCATCTAAGGCCTCCCCCAACCCAGTGAAATACCCTCTCCTGAGGGTCCACAATTGCTTTCTCCCTCCATCCGGGTCACTACCTTGTAAAGATCTGTCTCCTCTCCAGCCTCTCTGCTTCTTTCTTTGCTCCTGGCAAGAGCAGAGGGAGGCCTCCAAGGCCCTGAAGGGACCTCTAGAAGCACGTGGCCACCTCCCCGACCTCTTTTCTGGGCCTCCGGGCAGCCTCCGTTCTGGGCCTCTGAGGCCTGGAGGAGACCTCTGAGGCCCAGAAAGGGCCTCTGACGCCCGGATCCCCGTCATTTCTGGGTGTCAGAGGCCTTTTCTGGGCCACTGCCACCTGGAAATGGCTCCAGGGGACACTTCAGTGGGTTCTCCAAAGGCCCAATCCGGGCATTGGAGGTCTTTTCTGGGCCATTGCCACCCATAAAGGACACTTCATCGGGGCTCTGTAGGCCGATTTGGGCCTCGGACACCTCCAGGACTCCGAGGCCCAGAATGAAAGCCATGGGTGGCGGCCACATGCTTCCAGAGGTCCGTTCTGGGCCTCGGAGTCCTCCTCCAAGCCTCCGAGGTCCAGAATGGAGGCTGGGGGAGGCTTTCACGTGCCTACATAGGTCCTTTCTCTTCGGCTTCTGTTCCATTCTCTGTTGCAGAGAATAGAAACCTAAATTGTGAGATCACGCAAGATCAGTAGCATGAGATCTCGTGCCCCTGATCTCACGTGATCTTGCATTTCTTTAGGCCTCTATTCTCTGCGAACACACCAAAGAAACAGCCAAGAAAGTGAAGGATCTCTTGATCTTCGCAAGGTGAGTATCCTTAGGCCTAGTGCCTAGGAAAACCCATGGCGGGAGGAGGGAATAGCCAGGGTGAATGTTGCAGCGCCACTGCGGTCATTCGTAAGGGTGAATGACTGCTGTGTTGCGGCAACATTCATAATTTTGGGACTTTTGGTAAACGATAGGGGGTGCTTATCGCGTAACTTCAAACGTTTGCTAAGGGAATGCTCATAACTCGGGGATTACCTGTACCATATTTTCTTGAAAATAAGACCTAACCAGAAAATAAGACCTAATGTGTCTTTTGGAGCAAAAATTAATGTAAGGCCTGGTCTTATTTTCAGGGAACCATGCATACCATATGACCAGTACTTTGTGCGTAGAAAAAAGATGGATATATTTTGAAATGTATTCTGTGCATATTTATCCAGAAATAAATTCTATTGCTTACAATGAGGTTGCATTTCTTTTAAATGGGTGAAGGAACAGACAGCAATCTTTAAATTATATAGATTGTAGTTATTGGCCAAAGTATAATACATGTAGTTTAACAGCCCTCATTTTATGGCTCACTCTTTAAACTTTTAAAGCAACCATGACTTTGGGCATCCTCGCTGAAACAATCACATGAGCCTTCCAAAAGAAGCAGTGTTTTAACTGTTTAAAGTTAAACAGTTAAAATTTAATGCTACTTTAAATACTCTACATATTTTCTAAAGCACAGTCCTATTAACTATGCCATGTTTAATAATATAATCATTCAGGGTATAGACACAGTGATTGTTGATTGTAGATCCGTAATTCTCTAATCTGATTGTGCTCTCACTGTGTACTCTGGGTAAAATTATTATTTTTTTCTTTAAGTCAGTCATTTGACTATTTGGATGTGGAAAGACAGTTATTTCTGTGTTTAAATTATTATTTTATACTTTCTGCTCTCCTATATTTCCATAAATGTTTTACTATTGACTGTACAGTAAAAATATAGGTTCAGATATCTCATTAATTCATAATGTGATTTGTTTGGATTTGGCTTAGTTGCTATATGGTTCGGTATATAGTTGTGAAACCATCAGTTGTGATTTAGTCAACAAGCTGTGCTGTTTTTTTCTTTCTATTTTTATTTTATTTGAAAAAAGTTAAAATACAAAACTCCAAAAATTAAAAAAAGAAAATGAAAAAGCAAACAAAACATTGAAAAAATGCTTTAAAACCTACTATTCAAATATTATCCTCCCTAGTTGTTCTGTCCCAGCCTGTGTGAGTCCTTGTTATGCTCACAAGGAGAAAGCCCTCTTCCAAGAAACAGGCAGGAACCGCAAGAAAAAAATAACTCCTTTTATTCTCACAGACCTGAGTCAATGTCCAAGGCAAACAATCAGTCCACAGAAACTTCTCAACACGAACGGTTGTCTTTGGCAACCAGCACCTCCCACAGCTTCCCTTTTATAATTCAGCCAAGGCGTGGCTTCCTAATGCCTTCTCCTTTGCCTTTGGAGCAGCCCCATTGCATTCCTCTGTCCTACTCACTTCTCTTGCCTGCGCATTCGTGCATCCGGGATTTGTCCCAGCTGTTCTTCATCACTGTCCAACTCAGGCTCCCAGCACAGCTGTGTCTCAGCCTGACTATGAGTAGAGGGGCCAGGCTCCTCATCCGACTGTAAGTCTTGGAGCTCCTCAGAGCCATCCTCTGACTCTAATGCCACTCCAGGCCCCTCCTCCTCATTTGATTCCTCAGACACAGCTGTCGGATCCACTGGCTGGCGAGGAATCATAGCACTAGTTGAATATTGATTAATACATTATTACAATATTATTCCCACCTCCTGCGAAACAAGCACCAACATTTTTTAAACTACTAAATCTATTTGCAAATTATTGATCTGTCATCTATATACTATATTAATGACAAAATAATTAACAGAAAGAACAATAATAATAAAAAAGACAAGGTTAAAATTTTAAAGCTCTCTGTTAACAAACTGTTATTGTAATCAATTCGTAGAAAATTTACCACGGCATCTTATTGATCCCAATTTATTCCAAGAGTTAAGCGTAATTCATCCTGGATCAAATATCCATGTTTGTTTCTTAATGCCATCTCTTATCAATTGTTTTCTGGTAAAATATAATAATTTCAGTCTCCACAGATGGTCTTTCTTCCCAACAAAGTCCAGATGAAAATGGTTTCCATTAAGTGTAATAAATCCATTCCCCAAATCTCCTTCAATCTTCTTAAGGAAAACTAATTTATCACTTCTCCATTTAATCAAGCTTCTGCTGTTGTAAAGAATGCAGGCTTGAACTTCAGAGAGATGTATGCAATCAACTCAGTTCTAAGTCTATTGCTCTTTCCAACAGTTCTGCAATTTTCAAATTACATTCCTTTTGTGAGTCTAATTTATCCAGAGCTACATGCATCTGAAATCATTTCATCATTTTTTTAAAAAAAATCTTTCAACTAAAAATTGCATGATACCAATTGTTTTTTTTTTCAGATATCAGCCCCCCCCCACACTTGTCTGTAATCTAATACATTGTTGGTCTGTGTAACTTAGCCAGAAAACAAAGAACATTGAAGCAAAGTGAAGAAATAAATAAGAAAAGCAAGATAGATATTTTCTGGATATTTTGATCCAAGATTAAAAGAAAATTAACAAATAAGCAAATTTTGCAAACGAATAAAATGCAAAACCCTATGGTGAGAGATAAACTAAATGAAAGCACTTTCACCTTCCAAAAGCATGTTTCTTATTGAGAAGTGAAAGTTATTCAGAAGGGGGGAGGGGACAGCTAGAGTCCAGCAAGAGTTAAAATAAATCAGTATTCAATTGACCAGCCAGCTTTTAAAGATAAAAGCAAAGTAAATCAGAAGATTCAAAAAATGAAGTTAAAACTGGAGCATGCTTAAGAAAACAAACTGCTAAGAAGATGACTTTCTGACTGTTCCTACAGGGAACTGGAATCTTCAGGACTCCGCTTCCCAGGTGGGTCCATCGCCCTCCGAAAACTCATTCCTAAATGCTCCCATTCAAATCCAGAGAGCAGCACTGCAGAGAACCAGCTTTGGTAGCAAAATCTGCATATCTTTGGCAAGGGGGGAAAAAACCCTTACCATTCAGCAGCACCTTACTTCAAGCAGCTATGCTTGAGAAATCATGGCTTGGTACAATATTTATTTACTCATTCGCTGCCCATGTCGGCTATAACACAATCTAAGTTTAATCACCATGAAACCACTCCTCAGAAGTGATTTCCTCAGTCACGCCTCAGAATTATGGATAACATCTATGTGCAAAGTTTAGACTTACCATTTCATATTCTGTATTCCAGATAATTTGCCTGGTATATGACATACTAATTATTCAAATTTCAGTCCTAAAATATGTAAGGTATAAAGCTGAAGCAATGTCTCTAATTATATAAATTCTGTGAAGCTTGTCTAGCTATATAAATTGTCCGAAGCTTCTGCTATAGCAAGTTGCTGGATAAGAGATTGAGTTGGATTTATTGTTGGTCGTGTGAAACTGGGTAGTGTGATCTATATACTACTATCATAAATACGTTTGTATACTTATTTGCATAATTAAATACTTAGTAGAGATGATCCTTTTGTGGGAAACTTAAACGAAAGATCTTAATTTATTTGCTGGTAGAATTTTATATTGTACATTTTTAGAATTTTCTATATACACTGATCTTCGATATATAGATGTGGCCAAAAATATTCGTGTCCCTCCATGTATGTGATATAACTAACAATTTTACAACAAATTGGGATTCTTGAGGGATAGCATCTGTACTTGTATTAATTTCTAATGAGATGGTCTCATCTATTGAGAATATACAATTATTAGTTCATTACTGGATTTTTTTTAATAAATTCTGTTTAAAATACTGTTTAAACTACTTAATTTAATGATTTAAGCTTACCAGTCCTGTAAAAATTATTACTGCTGATTTTATATGCAGGAATGTATAGAGGTCAGCTGTATCTTCAGTCATCAGTTAGAATTTCTGATAAATTTCCTACTAACCCTAAAGCTTTGGAATCCAGAAATGATAATGCCGTTATTCATTTGCCTATGATCAAGTGGAAGCCTTTAATTCGTAAGTAATTTATCAGATTTATTACTTTTTCAAAAATGAAGGATGGAGTATATTTTTTGATAAAAAATATGAATGACTTTTACCTATTGGAAACTTCTCTATGTTTTCTAAAATATTATATACTGAAACATTTATGTATTTCATAGTTTACTAACTTTACAAAAGTAATGTTTGGACATTCCTATTCTATTATGTATGATAGAACTACCAGGGAAAAACAATGCTGTTTACTATTGATAAATCTATCATAAGGAATTTTTATATATATAGTTCAATTTTTTTCTGAATATATTGCATTGAAAAATGTATTGGAATTTGCACATGGAAGCCTATACATGAGATATAATACTGCAATCAAAAATATAAGAATTCCATATCACAGTCCATTAATTATCCAAGAAAAAGTTCATTTAATATTATTAATATTAAGATAGAATTATGGATTTTATAACACATGAAAATAGCTGTGCACATTCTCAGTATTTTGGGATAATTAATCATTAACTGAACTTGTATGGTTTCCTTTTGCCAACTCTTTAGCTGTGGTCTTTTATAATAGACAAAAATGTTTTCTAAAAGATAACTTCCATTCCTATAATGCTCTTGAAAAAGGCAAAAAAAGGTAAGAACATAAAAAAATTAGATAATTTTAATCCTGATCATTATTGAATTGATAGTCATAAAACTTAAAAAATATTCTAAGTGTAGTTATAAAAAGTGTGCTTTCTTTTTAGATTCTCCATCAAGAACACCTGTGCTGGTAGGATCTGATGAATTTGATAAATGTCTCAGCAATGACAAGTTTTCTCATGAAGAATATAGTAATGGTGCTCTGTCAGTTCTGCAATATCCCTATGGTATGTGTGAATTGTGCTTTATTTTCAACTATTGCTTCAAAATATTATTACATTTACATTAGGACTCATGGCTTTCACTAATTTAAACAGAAATCACAATACTGTTATTTCTGTAGAATTGTTGTTATTGGCTTCTTGGTAAATTATGTTTCTAGATAAATTAATGATAATTGTTTTTGTATTCACTTAGAACAGGGAAACTTGCTCCACATTATGTGTCTTTAACATAATGTCCAAAAGAAAGACAACATGATTTTAGCAAAGAAAAAAAAGGACCAAAACAAAATATAGCGAAAACATCTTCTACAGTGTAGAGCTTTCCTAACTTGTCTATATAAAATTTCTTGGAACTTGCCTCCATTCCCTATCTGAGTGTCCACATGATTAAAATCAATTCCTGTCCATATATACAGTATATGTATACTTGGTTGTACATGCTTCTCAAAACTACATTAAAAACAAAAAAGTTTTATTAACAAAATTAACTATATAAAATAAGGCGCCCCATTTATAGAATTAATTGACCTATCTACATCTAACAGTCATTTCTCTCACATACGAACCATACTTATACAGAATTGGATGTGTACACATGCAAATTCATACATACTCCCCAGCTATCTTCCAACAGAAGTAGTAAAAAGGGGAAAATAAGATTGTGATGGAGAAAGAGAAATGGATAGTTTTACTGAGAAATAAAGAGAAAAGAATGAAGAAACTAGATGGATATGTAGCAAGAGGAAGAAATTATTGGGCCAAGAAAAGAAAACAGTGAAGATTTACCAAAAAAAAAGTTTAATTCTCCAAGAAACAACCCTTTCTGTGGTAATCTTCAAAAGATCCAGTTTTGTAGCAATCATTTGCAACATTTGCACTTCATACTTATCGTTTATAACAGCAATTTTTATCAAAGAGAACTCCTCTGAGTTCACACATGGACTTTGTAGTATTGTACTTGATAAATAGTGTGGATTCAGATTTGGCTATCACCTTCCCAGCTGAGTTGTCAAACTCTGCTTTTTGCATGACAAAGGACAGACAGATAAGTAAAATAAGTAGTTTAAAACCTTACTCAATATTCCTAAAGCAGAGAAATTTTGAAGAAACTGGTTTATTTTTTAACAAGATTTATAAATGTAGGAAAACTATTTTCTTTATGTATGATTAAATATTAAATATTTAAATATTAAATATTAATAGTACGATTTAAACCCACTAAAATCAAATAGTTAAAAGGAGAGAGAAACAGTTGTCAGGTATGGATGGGAGGAGGATGTGCTTGGACTTGAAAAGTCCTTTCCTTAATTTAGAGAAAATGAGGATGTACAGATGTCTTGCAGGTTCTCTTAAGCTTATTTCTAGCATACTTCTAGAGGTCTGGGAGAATGAATTGAGTTCATGCTGATATTTGATACCACTATTACTTCATTGGTGTCAGGAGCACCTGAGTTGAAAGGATTAACTGATGACATCACCATTGTCTAGGGGACTCCCAAGGATGGCCCTTTCAGGTCCCTGGTATTTTCCCACCGAAGTGGTACCTGTTTATCTACTTGCATTTGTATGCTTTCGAACTTAAGTTGGCAGGAACTAGGTCAAATTGACGGGATCTTATTACATCATAAGACTTGTAGTCTTGGATTTAGAATTGCCAAGCTGTTGGCCTCTCATTGGTCACTCTCATGTAGTTAGGACACTGAGTCAGAAGACTGCTGTTTAGGTTTTTTTTTTCCAGCCTGGATATAGTCCACAGTTAAAAAGGAATTGACTGGCATTCCAAACGTTCTTAATTTCTGCTCAACCATTTTGTCCATAATGGCTGGTAACTATCATTATGCAGGACTAGCAGTAGCAACTCTGGAGGAAAAAAAGATCTCATATTTCCTATATCCCCAATAATTTCTGTGCCCTGTGTTCAGTTTTGCACATCCCACATTCAAGTCTGAGTACTATGTTGGGGTACCCCAGGATATGGCAAAGACTTTAAGAACATGATTTAAGTGGGTTTAAGAAAATATTTAATAATATTCACTATTTTAATTATAGATAATGGCTATTTTTTACCTTACTACACACGAGAGAGGAACAGACGAAGCACACAGATAACTGTAAGATTTTCTGACAATATGAATTCAAAGATCATCCGAAAAAAAGATCCAGTTCTACTTCTGCACTGGTGGAAAGAAATTGCTGGTACCATCTTATTCTGTATTATAGCCACAACTTTCATTGTGCGCAGGCTTTTCCATCCTGATGCCCGTAACCGGGTAAGTATAGAACTTGATTCTAGAAGTGAAAGTATACATATTTCCTTTATGGAGAACTTTACATCTAATCATTAGTATTAGAATAATTAAAAGGTATTTCAGATTAGTTGTGATTATTTGCTTCATCCTTTAGTGCAATAAAAGTGATGTTTAGAATTGTAAACAAGATTTCTAAATTCTTAATATCTTTGAATCAAATGATCTTTGTATTTTTATAGCATGTTTTCACACAATCATACCGTATGGCCAGAAGGATATTATGTGGTATCAGTGCACATCAAATGCCAGACATTGAAAAAAATATCTTAAACAGTTCTGCAACAGACACTTTTTAAATTCATGTCAGAGTACTTCAGAATATTTATTTGTGAAATGTATAAACTCAGTTTTGAAGGACTCTAATAAATATATAAGAATAATAGAGTCAATGCAAATATTTAAAATACACGCAAAACACAAATAATACCTGAAAACATAGATTCTATTAACAGTTACTCCTTTGGTACTGGAAGCTCCCTCCCCAACTGATCCCCAAATACTTCTCAAACAGCTAGGTTTTTACATACTAGTGACAAATTTTCTAATGAAAGAAACCACCACAGAAATTGCCCATTTTAAGACTCCTCCCTTTCTTTTGGAGGAGATCTTTAGCTGCCAATCTCTCTACTCAGATTGGGTGGGTAGAATCTGTTTGTGATAATGATTTTTGTGATACCTTATTTACTTGCATCCTTTAGAAATCCAGAATACACATTTGAAATTAGATAATTTTTCCTATTAACATTTCAATCTAGTTGACTTTTATTACTTTTGTTTATCAGCAACGGAAGGAGTCTGAAACTCAGTGTCAGACAGATAATAAAAATGAACAAACCAAAGACAACAGAGATGATCTTAAGAACTCTGGATATGTGTCAAGGTAAAAGTAGTAATTATTCTATGACAAAATCCATTCATTGCAGTAGCCTTCGAAAAACAAGCATTGATAGTTAACCTACTTTAGTTTGTGTTAAACTAGTGAGTACATTTTATGTTGGAGGAATATTGTACTAGCATTATTTCTAAATTCATTTTTCTTGAATGTACAGTATTTCCATCTCCTTTCAATAAGTTGTCTCTTAATTGCTGCTTTTTAAGAAGAGTAATAGGAAAAGCTGTTGTTGCAAGGAGAAGAAATGAAAAGTTATGGTATGCTTGTTACTGTCAGATAAGTTGTTGGGTGTGGGATTATAAAATCTTTAGGGGCAACTGCTATTTCAATAATACATTATTAATATGGTTATTGTATGGTTTTCTGTGATGCATTTTCTTACCTTTCAAAAATAATTTTAAATGGAAGAAGGTATTAAGATAATATTGGAAATATTATATTTCAGAGTTTTACATGCAAAGAATTAATTTTCTGTTTCCTTACATTCATTAATGAAATATCAAATAAAATGTGAAACAGTTTTAAAAATAAACTCATAAAGATTGCTAAGTAACAACAATAAAAAAACACATTAGCAGCTTTAGAAAAGGCTTTTACTTTCATGCTTGTCTTTCATGCTTATAATTACTGGTAGCCAGAGCCTCTATAGTGACTCATCTGTCAATCCACAATACAAACTTCATGTCCAGCATACATTAAGAGATCACTGGCCTCTTAATAGACCAGTTTAAAAACATATTCTGTTGAACTGAAAGTGTAAGAAACAATACAGTTCAGGCTTCTTTGATCTGCCATGTTGATCAAGGACTGGCTTGCTTTCTTCAGTAGCAAATGTAGAAATCAAGCATTCCTCCAACTATTGGCATATCATTATGTTGAATGTCTGTTCACATAAATTGACCAGACTAACAACAACTCAAATATGTGAATCATCAAATAAAAGCCTAGGTTAAATTAGTATTGTGCAAGTACCGGAAAAATCAATTTTACTTTTGTGTTTTCTTACAGGTATCTGACAGATTTTGAACCAGTTCAGTGTCTCGGTCGTGGAGGTTTTGGAGTAGTATTTGAAGCCAGAAACAAAGTTGATGATTGCAACTATGCTATTAAAAGAATTCGTCTTCCAAATAGGTATTTACATACCTTTGTGGTTACCCTTCATATTCTACTCTATATGGCACCAAGTTTCACGTATTGGTTGATGTTGTTTTAAAACTATTTTATTCAGTGGCTGAGAAGGTTTTCAAAAATTAAAAAGTAACATTAGATATTGTAAGAAATCAGTATTATTATTTTCAATAATAATTATAAATAATTTCAGTAAATTTCTGAATGTCCTTTTAGAGCTTTCTATAAATGTGAATTCCAAAACTGTATTTTTTTTTTAAAAAAAATTACAAAGTGGACTATAGTCAAGAGTATTTTTGTTGTGGTTTGAGACATTTTATGTTAGAGTATTTGCAGTATTTCTAAATCCATTTAATGCGAGGACTACTGGAAAAAGAAGCTTGAGTTCTTCAACTTTTCACTCAGAAAGGTTCAATCCTGAAATTATAATCTTATAAATAAAAGGGGTTCTTCTAATAAAACTTTTGGTTGAATATGTTTTTCCCAAGAAAATAGTCTATTTCAATTAATTACTGAGTAGGAAGTATAATTTACAGGCAAGGAAATATTTTGCTGCCTGAAAAGATTATGGCAAGTAATATTTGACCAATTTATCCTGCATAAAATTTTAGTCTTTGTTGTTATTGTTGTGTTACCTCAAATTTTAGAGAGCTGGCTCGTGAAAAGGTTATGCGTGAAGTTAAAGCATTAGCAAAACTTGAACACCCTTCTATTGTTCGATATTTCAATGCTTGGTTAGAAGCACCACCTGAGAGCTGGCAAGAAAGAATGGATGAGCTGTGGTTGAAAGATGAAAGGTATTTACTTTATTTTTTAGAAAATGTATAAATTTATTAAAGGGCTCTGGAAATGCAATACTAGTTGTGTTCACAAACCATGTTAAACCAAAATTTTGCAGAATAGTATCTGTAGAGGAATCAAGACATAGTCAGAAGAATATAATATAGCCACTTTGATAAAACTGAGAAATCTGACTTTGGTGTAATGCCTGGATTAGAGATTAGATGGAACTCATTTTATTATTCCATTATTGCTTCATGAGTTTCAGTAAAGGATAAAAGTCAGGATATGCATGTACCAAATAACTCAGAAGCTAAAAAGAGAACTTGGATGAATTCAAAGTAAGTAAGACTATTTGTATATAAAAACATAGAAAACTGTGACAAAAAAACATCTAGTGGTCCATCAAGTCTGCCCTATGAATTGTTTGTTTTTCTTTTCTCTTGATTTATTTATTATTTTACTTGTTATTTTTATTTTTTATTTTATTTATTTTTAAATTTTTATCAGATGATAGACATGTGTTTATCCCAAACATGTTTAAGCTAAGTTACTGATGGATTGACCCACTACCTCCACGAGAAGTTGGTTCCAAGTTTCCACTGCTCTTTCTGTGAAGTAATACGCTTACTTTTGAAGTTCCCTCCTGTCATTTTGAGGTTATGACCCGTGTTCTTGATTTTTGCTTAATAATATTGCTTAAGTATGTGATTCCTAGACCTTTCTAGGGCCATATAGGATCTGTTGAATGTCTCTCTCCAAAGGTGAAGAGAAATAATTACGATTGTATAAATTTATTTAAACTCCAACATTTGCATTATCAATCTTTTACACTTTCATAATGGTAGAGCATGGGTGACAAACTTGCGACATATCACGATTTTTTTTTGTTTTGCATTGCTGGAGCTGGAGTGGGCGTGGCCTCCGTATGATGCAACCGGCCTGTGGGCTGGCAGTTTGACACCCCTGTTGTTTGGAAACATCTGGAAGTGGATTGATCCATACAATATTCTTTTTTTATTTGGCAGTTATGAGATATGTCAAATTAGTTTGAGAAATCATGTTAAATAATTTATAAGATTAAGAGTTTTAAATAGCATTTCCTACTGTAATAAATTAATAAGTTCCCATTAATAAAAAAGATGCTAAAAGCCATAAAAGGGGGAAGGAATCCACATCATCTGCTCCCTTCTGCTCAGGTAAGTAGGACTGCAGGAAGATTTGAGAATAAATTACTATCTTAGAAAAAATCTTGAAATGTTCTTGTTAAAATGTTCAGAACATTCCTTTGTAAGGTCCTTTATATTCTGAATGTTATAAAAAGTAACTTGATGATGAATCTGATGAATTTAAACTATTTTGTAAGGTATGCCCAATTTCAAAATAATTTGGAAAAAAGCTATAAACCTTGTACAAATGCAACTCATCCTGTATTGCTAATTAAATATCCATACTCTTGTCTGAACTTCTGTATAAGCCTAAAAAGATCCTGGTATTTTATAGAGTCATCTTGTTAAAGAATTTTAAAGCATTGGCATCTTTTTTCAAGTTCTAAAGGAATGTCATGACTACTGTAACAAATAGCAGAGGGGTTCTGGGCTCATACATAGTCCAAAGCATTCCAAATCATTTTTGAAGCATGCATACCCTAATTCATAGAAATGTTAAAAGCTTTATATTTCTGCTCTGCAGGCAACATATGGTAAGATTAATTTAAGTTTGTAATGTTATCTTTTGCTTTCCTAATATATTTAAAGTATTGATTGGCCACTCAGTTCTCCCAGTCCAATGGAGGTGCCATCATTTAAAATTAGAACAGAGCCATTCTCTACTGAGGAAAACATTGAAGTCATTGCTACATCTGTAGAAAAGAAGACTCTGCTTTCTGTAGGAATACCTTGTGACCAGTCAGATTCATCAGAGAATAAGTTTTCTCCTTTGGAGTTTTCTGCCATCGAGAACAGAGATTTGATCCAATTGGCAAGTGCACAAGATAATTTCATTAATAGCTGTGTTATGGAAGGCAGTCCTGTTGATGATAATGATCCTGTACATTCCTTTGAAGTGTATCTTCCTGCTAAATCGGTAGTAAGGTTGAGGGAGAGAACATCTTCTTCTATTGTCTTTGAAGACTCTGGATGTGACAATTCTTCCAATAAAGAGAATAATATTACCAGTGTGCTTCATGATAGCCATTTTGAAGATAAAGCGACAAGCACAAGAGAGTCCAATAATGAAAACTCATCTTCAACAAGTTCTATATCTAGTTCTCCACCAAGACCAACAACTTTAAGTTTGGACTGCTCTAACAACTCAGTACAAAAACTTTTACCTACCATTCCAAAAGTGTATCTTTATATCCAGATGCAACTTTGTAGGAAAGAAAACCTCAAAGATTGGATGAACAGAAGATGTACAATAGAGGAGAGAGAAAGGACCGAGTGCCTTGTGATATTTCTGCAAATAGCTGAAGCTGTCCAGTTCCTGCACAGTAAAGGATTAATGCATCGGGATCTCAAGGTTTGTACTGAGAACACAATATAATTATTTATCTCCCTAGAGTAAGTTATTTAATTATATGTATGTATTTGAAAAGCATTTTTATACTCCACAGAATTATTTCTTCATTGTTGTATGTTATGAAGGATGTCCGGGAAAAACTATACAACTTTTACTAGCTATTTATAATTATTATTTATTAGTAGTCTTTATCAGATGAAGTGTGAACATAAAGCAAATTATATAATAGTAATTTATTAAGCATGTATACTGCCCAACTCTCAGTGACTCTGGGTGATCCCCAAAAATCAGTGAAAGCAATTTTAATAAAGCATTAAAAATAAAGGAAAACTATATGCAGTATATAAATGTACTATAGAAAAATGACTCATGAGTAAATACTGTCACAAAATAAAAATAGAAATTGTTCAGATGAAATATAATCCCCCAATAAGTAAGTTTATTGTTGCAGCCATCGATTGTAACATACAATGTTGCAGCCATCGATTGTAACATACAATACAATAAAATAACAGTGAAATAGAAAAACTATAAAATAAGTAAAACAATGTAATGAAAGGAGTACAGGTAGCCCTCAACTTAACCATTCATTTAGTGACCATTCATGGTTACAACGGCATTGAAAAACATGACTCATAATCAGTCCCCACACTTATAACCTGCACAGTATTCCCACAGTCATGATCAAAATGTGGTTGCTTGGCAGTGGCATATATTTACAATGGTTGCAGCATCCTGAGATCATGTGATCATGATTTACGAAGTTTCCAGCCAGCTTCTAGCAAGCACAGTCAATAGGAAAAGCGAGATTTTCTTAAGGACAGCATGATTAGCTTAACTGCAGTGATTGTAATCACAGCAAAAAGGTCATAAAAATGGATGTGACTCATTTAATAGCTGCCTTGCTTAACAAGAGAAATTCTGGTCTCAATTGTGGTTGTAAGTCAAGGCAACCTGCATTAGATATTAAAAAAAATACAGCAAAATAAAGCTCAAGCTACAGCTAAGAACTTAAGTACAGTATTCCTTTCTAAGTTTAAATAACAGTAGAGCGAATGTGGTAACTTATTGCCGACAATTGAAAATATATTTGCAAGAAGGTAGTTCAATTTTTCAAGATAGGGGCCCTTGAGTTAACATATCATCAGTAATTTGGCTCTAATCTCATTGAACATGAGGCAGCAGAGGACATAATGGATAATGTCTTTCGCTTGACCACCATCACAAGAACAGAGATGTTGTTTAAGAGTTTACACACACACACACAAATCTCCCTTTGAGATACTTGAAAGATATGGTTTGCAGGTGAAGAGAGGTAAAGCACTGGTTATGTTAACTAGGTTCCTGAAGAAGTTTCTATGTTTTTATAATGATGGTGCCAAGATGAACATTTGGGTGATTGTACCTCAGTGACATCCCTCTTGAAAAGCCTTTCTCTATTATTTTACCAGAGGTATTTAATACCTTCTTTGGGACCATTTAGATAGAAGTAAATCTTAGAATCTAAGGATCCTTGTTTCCAGTTTTGAAAACTGGTTACAAGCTGAAAGCTACTACATATATCTAGTTGTTAATAAATAAGTGATTCATTTTGATCCAGAATCACATGAGAAATATACATTGTGGAATAACCCAAATTTGTAGATAGTAGAGTGGATGTTCTATGGGAATATGTGGACCAAAAAAAGAATATATCAGTTGATTTTTAAAGGAAGTTTTAAAATCTTTGTATTCTAAGTATGATAACATCTATTTCATAAGATACACATTTGAAACTTGTACCACAAAAGATTACGGTCAGGAAGCTTTTGCAGCCTCTCAGGTACCAGGAATATTAGTATGTTTAAGAGATAAAAGTGAAACCACAATTCCATTTTATACAAAATTCAAAACTATAGATTAACATTATTTTCATGCTTTGAACTGTGGAACAAAAGAATTGCAATATCCATTCTTGAAAATCCAGTGATCGAAATTTAATTAATAGGAAAAAAATTCCTTCTTGTAACATTAGAACAAAGTTAATCTGAAAATGTTATTTTATTGAGTCCCTTAGAGAATGTTTAAAAAATCTTGGCCATTATTTTTTTGTGTGTGCTAGTGTTTGTAAGAAATTTCACAGCTCTTTAATTCATATGTTTGGTCAACACATTGATAGTTTGGTTTGAAGTCATATCATATGTTTTGAAAATAAGTATGAATACAGTTTTGGAAATAAGTATGAATATGTAAATATGCAGTTAAATGATTTTCCTGAGATATGGAATTTGTAATTTTAAGTATATTCTCTTTATCTTTTACTTAATAATTCATTAATATGCATATAAAATTTATGTTTAAAAAATTTCATTGCCTATTTCTATTGAACATATTTCCATAGAAATATCACTTTGAATACTGCAAATTCATATAATTCATCCACTTCATGGTATTCATTAACCACACTAATTGAAACCTACCTGTTTTTCATTATTGAAATAAACATTTTAAAATTTCAGACAAAGACCATATAGAAAAATTAGGGATAGAAGGATAGTTTTCTGTAGACACTGCTTATTGCTACTATTAACTAATGGGCTGTTTATTACTTTGTAAATGTGCTGTCATCTCTTATTTTATTTTGGAGAAACCTCCTACAACATTATACAATTGATTCCTCAAGATAGTTTTCAGATATATGCATGTGTGTTTTATACTTTGGAAGGAAAAAAAAGATTTCTTCCACCAGTATTGTAAAAACTGATAGATTGGAAAATGTAATGATACAATTTTATATGATACAGCGTATATTGTTAATTCCTTTGTAGTAATTTTCTTTGTGTTCACTTGTTCATATACAGCCTTCCAACATTTTTTTTACAATGGATAACATAGTAAAAGTTGGAGATTTTGGTCTAGTAACTGCAATGGACCATGATGAGGAAGAAGAATCTGTTTTAACACCAATGCCAGCTTATGACAGACACACAGGGCAAGTTGGGACCAAACTCTATATGAGTCCAGAGCAGGTATGCTTTTTATCTGATTTACAGGATCCTCATAATGGAATTTCATAAAGGATAAATGTTGGCACAATTATTGAGTACGTATCAAGTGTGAGTTAGAAAGTTTTCTGTTTTAAATTTTGTCCCATCCACAGAATGTGAATAATTTTTTCTGCCTTATTAGAAAGTGGTAATAAGGAATACCTTATTCAGAGGAATTATATGATATATTTTAATTGTTAAATTGCTTTGTGTTTGCACTATGCTATTTCCCCAGTTAGGATTTAAATGGCATTTATTGTAGTTTACTCCAGTACATTATAGAAATAACAATATTTTGTTATTTAGGCTGGTGAATGTTTCACTTTAAATGGTATTGAATGTATAACATGCAACATACAAAAATCAATGCTGCAATATGGGAGTTTTTGTTCAGCATGCCAGGCAGCTGCATCTTTCTAGATACTCAATATTATCTTCACCTCCCAAAATCCTACGCTATTGATACCCAGTTAAGCATGCAGCTCTTTTAATTTTTGTCTTTGTTTTTTTTTTCCTTGACCTGGTAAGGATTTTTTCCCCAAAATTACCAAACTTGAGGTTCCTCCAGATATGTTAATGGCTCCCTATTATTTTTGTGCAGCTTAATGTTGTTTACACTTCTGTTAGCTAATTACTGTTAGCTAACATTCTTGAAATTCTAGAAAAAGCATTTTTTTTATTAAGAAGCGTCCTAGAAGCATAAATGAGTGAAATGAGTATCCCACAACTCTTCAGAACATTTGAATGAAACATACTGTACATGCTTGCTATTATGAATTAAATGCAGTGATGGGATTCAGCTGATTCGTACTGGTTTGGTAGAACTGGTAGCTAAATTTTGCTGCATTCAGAGAATCGGCTGGCTTCCAGAAGTCCAGTCTAGGCCTGGAGGAGGCCTCCCAGGCCTGGAACGGCCCACTGGAAGTGCGTGGATGCCATTCCAGAAGTCTGCTCTAGGCCTCGGAGGAGGCCTCCCAGGCCTAGAATGGCCCACCAGAAGTGTGTGGATGCCACTTTCAGAAGTCTGTTCTATGCCTCGGGAGCCTGGAGGAAGCCTCCCAGGCCTAGACCAGCCCACCGGAAGTGCATGGATGCCACTTTGTGAAGTCTGTTCTAGGCCTCGGAGGCCCAGGCCTGCATTGAGTAAGAGAACCAGTTGTTCAGGTATTTGAATTCCAGCCCTGCTCAGATCCCCCTTACTGGCTTCGCCTCGTGGCAGCGGCACTGGCAGCTCCCTCCCACCTTGTGTCTATTGTACAGTATGGTAAGAACCAGAAAACCAGATGTTAAATTATTTGAATCCCACCACTGATTAAATGTATCATTTCACAAATGCATGTAGTATCTGGTTATTTGGGACATTGTTAGCTTGTTTATGATATTTCATTTAGTTTTAATATCCATGTTTTCCTTACTCTTTAACAGTTAAGAATATTTATTAAAATGGATTGATTTGACCTTATTTGATACAAAGTACTCTCTTGTCTTTCTTTGGTTAAATATTAAGATTTTGGGCAGAAATATTAGTAGGAAATAAAAATACAGCCTGATTGTTCAGTTTTTGATGGCTATTTCTTATTTTAAATTTTACAGATTTATGGAAATACTTATTCACACAAAGTCGATATATTTTCCTTAGGATTGATCTTGTTTGAGCTTCTTTACCCTTTCAGCACTCAGATGGAGAGAGTCAGGGTAGGTATGCCCTTCTGAAAATATTCTTGGAAGAAAATAAATTATTTGTTAACAATAAACTGAAAATTGTTAATTTACCATTAGGTACAAAAATATAAACAAAGAATAATTATTATATTAGCTATGATTCTATAATTCCTGTGGAGGAGCTATAGTTGAAGTTAATTTGCTTAAAAAATTTATGAGTATATTTGAAAATAATGCCTTGTCAAATATATACTTGAAATTAAAATACACTACTTATGAAATTGCAGAATATTCTCTTTCATAAAGAGAAAATATTGTCCTCTTTAGGACTTGGAGCTGAAATATGTGTAATTCATATTTCAAAACAAATAACTTTTTCTTTTAAAATGTTTTTACAGATTTTAAGTGAAGTAAGAAACTTGACTTTCCCACCACTGTTCATTAAGGAATATGCACAGGAGGTATATAGGAATTTAAATTTCCAGTTTAGAGGTGTGCTTTAGCATTGGGGTTTTATTAGGTCAAACTGCATTTATTTTATTATTAAAAATCATAAGCCTGCTTGGTAAATTGTACTGTTACTCTGCTATGCTTAATCTTGTCCTTCATGACTTAAATAATTAACTAAGGAAATTAAATTTGGATTATTGGATCCAAGAAATAATGAATGCATCGCAAGACTTCATTTGAATTCTTTGCCCCCTAAATACTACTTTTCTAGGCACTTTTATCATCTGGAGAAGTGGAAATTCAGTCTGTTCCAAAAAGAACTTTATAATTTGAACTTGTTTCTAAACTTAGTTTAAACAGCACAAATGATCTTTATGGTATAAAGCACATTCTCCTATCTAAGGCTGATTATCCAGCTATATCCCCTCTAGAATAAAGCCACTCTCCCTTCCTCTCCAATGTGTGCCTATGTCTTTGTACTGGTAGTTTATTAAGACACAAACGCTTGAAATATTTGGAGGTCCTACTCTGGCTTTCTTGCCATCTAGTCTGATACAGATATGTATATAATATTTTATGTATTATATTTTAGTGCCAGAGAGTATTTATTTTAAGATAAGAGATAAAATGGGGGTCAGATTGAGACAAAATATATTTACAGCTGTTGTGCAGAAATTTGTTTTGTCATTGGCTGGAAAGGGTGTTTGCATTTACTTTGTAATAAGGGGACAGCAGTTAGATAATGCTATCAATTGAAAACATCTCACCATCTGAAATAATACTGTTTTTGATGTTTTAGCATAAGATGGTAAAGCACATGCTCTCCCCAAGTCCCACAGAAAGACCAGAGGCTGTAGACATTATTGAAAATCCTCTCTTTGAAGATTTGGAATTCCTTGCAAAACCAGTGATCAGGCAGCGATCCCGAACAATGAGTTCATCTGGAGTCAAGCATTCAAGATAGCTGAGTAAATAATTTGGCACAATTACAGGAACCTTGCAAAAGAACTTAAAACATTCCTGCAATATTCATATTCTAAGCTTCATTTTTTCTTGTCTGATTCATGTACAGCACTATTACCAAATGAAACTAAGAATCGAATGCTTTCAGTCTTTCACAAGTGAATGATTTTCACTTCGAAACCTGGCCTGATTTAATTACAGTACATTATTTTGCATTTAAATCTTGTACAGATGATGCTTATTATGTAAATGAAACTAAATTCTGTATTTTTATAGAAACAATGCCTTCTAATACCAATATATAAGCCTTGATTCCTTTATATATATATATAAAAATGAAGATGATCTGAAAGGAAGCTAGAGGAGGTAAATACAATTTTGTCCCTGGTAACATATAAAGTAAAAATTGTTTTACTATCAGTTGCCAGGTTTAGAGCAATAGTGTGATAGGCTTCTTTTCAAAGAAATTAATTGAAGAAAATATTTAGATTGAATGAAAAATATGTTGATTTAAAAGAAAGCTGCCTTGGATACAGTTTTGAATTGTGCCAGTACCAAATGGGGCATTTTTCTCTTTTTATAATTTGAGGAATACATTATCTTGATATAAAGTTTGTGTAGTAATCAAGTCTTACACATTTCTCAGTTAAAATGTTATTATTTAATAATGCCTTTTTTCAATGTATATATGTTAATTTTTATTTATAAAATTGGAAAAACAATCCGTTTGGGTTGGTAGTGTACAGTATGCACTTGAAGTAATTATTAAGTGCATTAAACTACTGTGACTTTTTTCAAGTCTGATTTAATAAAATCATTTCTCTTTAGATGTAACTGTGTTGTGTTTCACAATTGAATGAAAATAACTTAATTTGATAATTTCATCCTCATTTGTATATGGTAGCTTTCCAGCACCCTGCTTTCCTACCTCTCTCCCCTGCTGCATACTTCCTCTGCCCTGTCTTCCCAGACATGTAGGAATCTCTCAGCTCCCTACTGCATTCATCACCTTTACCCACCTCCCCACTGAGACTCTTCTTCAAGCCATTCATAGCAGATGAAAAATTCCAGGACAAAAAAGTTATTGTTTAAAATAAAATTTAAAAACATACAATAAATAAATAATACATGTACAAATATGCTTGCAACTGTTTTTTCCAGGCTTCATGCCCAGGAAATAAGTAATTGTATTTTTGCCATTATAAATTATAAATCTTTTCCAAAGGTCTGAAAATTGATACAGAAGCTATCTAGTGAACTAGTTAATTTTTAACAAGTCATATAAGAAATGGTTGAATACTTGCTTCCCCTTCAAATTCAATCATGTTTTGCATATCTTTAAATTTGAAAAAAATATTCCTACCAAGTTGAAAGAAAATTTATCAAATATTTATTACTGTATGAGTTTGCTTAAAATGCCTACTTTAACCAGTAGATAACAACAAATATACTGCATACTCATTCAGTGCCAGAGTGTCTTCCTGACTTCAAAATCAGATGGCTCCCACCAAATCATAAATGTGATTTGCAAAAGAAAATGGAGCATGGGAAAATCAAACTGATTTATATGTATACATTGGTATATATTGCTTGCCTTTATATGTTTATTACCTGTTTGCATATTTTTGTGTTAAAAAAGGTTGTATTTAAATTCTCTTTTTTCAAGATTATCCTCTGCAAATGTAATATAGGGATGCTCAAAGCCTTGGGATGTAATTCTAAACTCCTTCCACTTTTGCCCCTTTACCCCCAAAATGCCAACACCTATGAGTTCAGACTTAAGAAAGTAACATTCTGAAGAAGGATATAAAAGAGCTGGGATGTCTGAAGTAGACATACTCTCTGGGCTGCAAAAATTCAGAGAATGATAAAATGGTAGCAAATAATTTTCTGTAGGTTTTCACTGTCAATTTTTTTCATCAGAAGCACAGTATTGCCTTTTCCATAGAACAATGTGCTTGAATATTTGAGGGGAATTTTCCCATAGATATGCAATTAGAAATGGAGGAAAAGCAGGCAGCATTGTAAATAAAACACAAGATGACTGGAATAAAAGAAATTTTAAATGTCAAAACCATTTTGGTTCTTAACATTTATTAATTTAAACCAGGAAGTATTTCTGATGGGCAACTTAAGATAAAGGTGTCAAGCTGGAGATTCCTTTTAAATACCTGACTAAGTAAACATGGAAAATTATTTCTGCCCATAAATAGCTTTATCTTCACTTTTCAAAGCTAATAGTGCAAAATTAAAGTATTAAAACAAAACTCAGTTGTGGATGTACTGAAAGTCACAATGTTTGGGAAAAAAATGATACATCTAGATCAGGGGTAGGCAACCTTGGCTCTTTTATGACTCGTGGACTTCAACTCCCAGAATTCCTGAGCCAGCATGGCTGGCTCAGGAATTCTGAGAGTTGAAGTCCACGAATCATAAAAGAGCTACGGTTGCCTACCCCTGATAAAGAGAGAACCAACTAAGTTATTCCATTAATAATAAATTCCAGTTAAACCTATCTCATAATATAAGAAGGAAGAGTTGTTAACAGTTTATGTGGACACTGTGTAGAAGCTAGGCCCTTGCCATAAAATGAGCCAACTGGAATACATATCTAACCTCAGCATCTTGGGACAGCTATTGCAGCCTTTGTACTGGTGTTTCAACCTTAGCCACTTTAGAACATGTGGACTAACTTCCAGAATTTCTGGAATTTGAAATCCATTTGTTTTAAAGTTGCCATGGTTGAGAAACAATGCTTTACACCAATAGTAGCTCTTTTTCCAAAACCAAGCTTCCTTTCGGTCTCTGTTTTGAGAGATGTTTCCCTGTGCTTTGAAAAATCAAAATGGCAAGATTGTGGTCTCTGACACTGACTGAGAGTTTGTGCAGTCTACTGCCAAATAATTCAATAGGGTGTGAGAGAATTAATTTAAGAGTGCAAAACAGTGTTGTCTGGTGTCTGATGGAGGATTGTAGAGATTCATCACAAATGATCATTGGCCTGCCAGATAGTAAGAGTACATTAGTATCTGTCGTCGCCATTCATCTATGTACACATACATTGTTTTCAGATATTTAATATTTAAAAGCATAATATCCCTGACTTAGATAAAATACAGCCATTATGCCTTAAAGCCATTGATAACATTAACCTTCTGAAATTCATTCAGATGTCAGGGCAAAACTAATTCTAGCAATTGCTGTATATTTGTATAAGTGTAGCTCTGTGCTGGATTGAGAAGCTTTTCCTTTCAATTCAGTTCCTTTCAACCAATTTTTATTCTGTTTTATTGCATTACATGGGGTGTGAATATTAGGACAAATCTTCTTTTCCCCACACTTTACATAATTTTGTGCATGCCTTTTCCCCCCCCAAACAAGACATTTTTGACATGTTCCCAACTTTATAATCATCTTGTTTGAGGTACAAATACCATAATTGTATACCAGCAAACTTGTAAATGTATTTGAAACAAAGATTTGAATAAAAATTATGATTTTGCTATTCCTTATTGATTTCATAAGATTCTCAGTTTTCTGGTTAGGTTTTTCAGAGTAATTCTTCAATGGGTTATTTCCCTTCAGCCTTTTACCCAATCCAAGAATGTTCCTGGTTAATCTCTATTAGCCAAGATTTGGTTTATATACATGTGATTTTTTTTCCCTGTCCCAAGATGCATCATGTTATCTTTTGTTTACACTGAACCACATTCTTCCAGACTGCAGAAATTGTTTTGGAGGCTCTTCCTTGAGATAACTTTCTTAATTTAATTCCTTCCTGTTACATAATACCCCTTGTTTGCAGTGTTCCACAGGGCTCAGTACCTAGTAGACTCTCTTTTCTTTTCTTTTCTTTATATATTTTTATTAATTTTTATAGTCACAAGTTCTTAATATTTTATCAACAACATATTGTCTGGGTTCCAATATTTAACTTACTAATAACATATTAAGTTCCTTTCTCTCTACCTCATTTTTCTAGACTTTGATAAAAGGATCCCATGTTCTAAAGTATACTGAGTCTTCTTTCTCTTTCATTTTCAATGTCAACATCCATTTCTGCATTCGAATTTTTTTGATTAACTCTTCTTTCTTGTTTAATATATCTACATGAAGCCGCTGGGTGACCTCATCTGTCACCATGGGTTGAGATATCATCAATATGCTGATCATAAGAGTTGTGCAGTGGCTAGAATGCAGTATTGCAGGCTAATTCTGCTGACTGCCTATTGCCAGTAGTTCAGCAGTTTGATTCTCACTGGTTCAATATTGACTCAGCCTTCTATCCTTCTGAGGTTGGTAAAATGAGGACTCAGATTTTGGGGGCAATATGCTGACTCTGTAAAGCACTTAGCACTCTGTAAAGTGCTGTGAAGTGGTATATGTCTAATTATAATCTATTGCTATAATCAGTTCTACTTCTCTACACATGGCAACCTGAGTGATAGTGTCTCTGTCGTTCTATGATGCCTGGAGGCTGTAGGAATCTGGATGAGGGACAACAGACTTCAACTGTACACTGACAAAACTGGGTGGCTTTGGGTGCATGGAGCCTCAGGAACCGAGTGTTTGTCATCCTTATTTCTGGACAGGGTTACATTACCTTGTTCAGATCTAGTTCACAACTTACAGTTCTCTTCGTCTAATACAGGGGTGGCAAACTCGCAATGTCACGTGACGTGTTGCGATATATCGTGACTTTTTTTCCATTGTCAGCAATGGGGTAGACGCAGTTTCAGCATGACGCATCTAGCCTGTGGGCAGGCAGTTTGACACTCCTGGTCTAATAGAATAACAGAGTTGGAAGAAACCTTATATCATGGTGACCAAAACTGGATGCAATGTTCCAAATCTTGTCTTACCAAGACATTTTAAAATGGTATTGACACCTCACATAATCTTGATTCTATCCCTGTATTAATGTAGCCTAGGACTACATTGGCTTTTTTGGCTGCTGCCCCACTCTGTGGCTCATATTTAAGTGATTTGTCTACTAGGACTCCAAGATTCCTCTCACAGTTACTACAATTGAGCCAGATGCCAGGTGGCAGGCGTGAGTTTGTGATCTTTCCTGGATCATGATTCCCTGCACTTGGTTATTTAAGCCCTGCTCATTTCTTGCCTAGATTACTGCAATGTGCTCTATATGGGACTATCCTTGAAATCAATTTGAAAACTTCAGCTGGTGCAAAGTGCAGCAGAAAGAGCAGTCTTTGGAACCCTAAGGTGACACCTATTACACCTCTTGTTCTGCAAAGTTCACTGGCTATTGGTCTGCTTCCAAGTGCAGTTCAAGGTATTGGTTATGACCTTTAAAAATCCTTAATATGATGAAGCATCTCTTCCCACTAAGACGTCCCGTCTTATTTGTGCCAGCAGAGAGAGAGCCTACTTCAGATCCCCTGAAAGAGCTCCAACTCTTGGGATCCAGAAGAAAAGCTTTTTCTGCTGTAGCATCTGCCCTTTGAACATTTTAACCTCTAAGGCAATATCTTCCCCCAACCTCCTATGCTTCCGTGAGAGCCTAAAGATGTGACTACTGATTAACTTGGGAATCACATGGGGGCTGCTAGATTAATTGCAAGCTCCATCTCTCTCCACCTCTGCTCTCCACCCATCCATCTTTTTGCTTATCATACTGATGTATTATTCTCATTGTGTTTCTTTGTCATTGTTTATTCCATTATTTCTGTTCTGATTATACTTTTTTCATTTTTCTTTTTATTATTGTAAGCTGCCTAGAGTAACCCCAGGCCGAGATAGGCTGGAAATAAATTGAACAAATAATATACAAAGAGTAAAATGCATAGCTATCTGCATATTTTTTATTTCTGGAACTAATAATATGTAATTGGTTTTTTTAAAACTAGAAAATGGGCATGGGAATCTCAGCTCCAAATACTAAAAAATATTTCAAAGATCAGATTGTATTTATGTATTTATCTGTAAATTACTGCAATGTGCTTTCTATTAATCTGTCCTAGAAGTTCCTTGAGAATGCCAATTTGAGTTCCACAGCACCTATGACCACTAGGTGCTGCTGGAGGTCCGAAAATCCCAGCACACAAACATTTCTTGTACAGTTACACCAGCTGCTGTTTTTTTTTCTGACATTGAATTAATGTGACATTGGTCAACCATGCTTTAGACTGCATTATCATATGTACTACATGGCACTCTACAAGGTAAGGAGGTCTTATGTTTTCAATTTTTTTCTATCTTAAAATGATTTTTTTTTCTGGTAATGGAATATTATTGCCATCTATCCCAGAAAAATCTGCTTAATCATCTTTAACATTCTGCAGCAACGTATTTCCAGGACAGTTGGATGTTAACATGGTGTTAATTCTACCATTTTTACAAATCCAAACAAAGTGTCTGCTATATTATTTTACTCAGTTCTGTGAAATTATTTTCAGTTTTCACGGTCAGAAGATATGAATAAAACACAGTACAACCTGTATTCTGTTCACCCCAAGTGCCTGTGTCCTTCTATTGCTATTGCCTCCCTACCCTCTGGAATTAAAAAGGAAAACGGTTTTCTGAAATACTGTGTGTTCCTGATCTACTTCTTGTACCTACTTCTTAAAAAGTAGACCTCAGGAATGTTTGAAAACGTTTCTTGATTACAAGCACTGAACATACAACTTTTCTATTTTTCACAATGTAACCCACGAAACCTCAGGAGTATTTACACTCTCAATTCATAGGCTTTGTTGATAATAGCAACATGCTAAGAAAAGATATATATTTATATATTTATTATATTGATATTGATAAATTAGCACTGATAATAACATACTAAGAAAAATATTTTCTATTTTATATATAGCTATATAGATTTAGATGTATG